GGAGGCCAGCCGCCTCATCCAAGATGGCGGAGCGATGGGACGCAGTATTAAGGGTTCCTTCTCATTTCACAATCCCATTACACTCATGGTGCTGTAGCTTAAAATAGTTCTCTCAGAATCACAGTGCGCTCGGAGTGTGCGACATAAAAGAACAAAACTCGCTAAAATAATCCGAACCGTAAATCGTCTCTTTTAAAAAAATAATCTGATCGGTAAAAAGGTTTTCACATGGTTACAATCCAGCGTTCTGCTTAATCCAGTCCCTCATTTCCGTCACCTTGGTGTAGATGCCCGGCTTGTTCCTGCGAGCGCAGCCCTCGCCCCAACTGACGACCCCAGCCAGATAAACCTTCCCATTCGCCTCCACGCTGGACAGCGGACCACCGGAGTCACCCTGCAAGAGGCCAAACACCACATTATATCATGTACTTCCTGTGTCCCAATATACATTCTACAGCCGGGAGCATTGCTGGCCCTGATGATAGGTGTCAGTGTGTTCAACTGGAAACAAAAAAACGGATACATTGTAGTTCTCTGCAGCTGGAAGGAGCAGCTCAATACAATGTATCTTCTTCTCCCCAAAAACCAATCAGCCAAAAACCTGAAAGTGGAAGAAATTTTTTTTTTTTAAAGGCCTCGTTCACACCAGATGCAGCGAGTTCCGGCCAGATTCTGGCCAGCTCTCACCCTTGTGGGGCAGGAGGGGGCATGGCGGGCCATTGAAGTGAATGGCACCGTAGCCACGCCCACAATAGGATCGGCCGCATGGGATCGTAAGACACATCATGCCTGCGGTCAGGTGCGAAAAAAATAATCCTTGCAGCATTTTGATTTCACCGGACCGGACCACACTGCAGGCATAATGTGCATTGCGGCCGTATGGAGCGTGGCTACGGTGCCATTCACTTCAATAGCCCGCCACGCCCCCTCCTGCCCCACAAAGAAGTGAGTTGGCCGCACTGCATCTGGTGTGAACAAAGCCTTAAAATAAAAGTCTGCCAGTTTAGTGCCCGTGCACACCAATTACAGCGGGGGTGTTGCTGAGGTACCATTGACTTCAATGCACCACCACAGACACCCCCCCAGAAAAAAAAAGGGAGGAGTTTAGTGTGCGATTACACCGCATTCCAGCAGCTACCATTGGTAAGTGGTGTGAACTGGCCCTTAACCCCTTGTGATGCGCAACTAACCCCAATTAAAAGGCTTGCTCCACTTAAAATACACTTACTATTGATTTGGTTTGTTTTTATATAAGATAAGCAAAACGTATTTCCATATTAGTACTATATATAGATATATGTAGATTATTTAAAAAAAACTTTCATTTTATTGGCAAACAATTCCACTATTCATTGTACCAGAAACATTATTATTATAATAAATGACTAATCACAGAATCAAAAGACAACCTCGGGCCCCATTTACACAGAGCTGGGTGTCTTTCGAGTGTTTTCAGTTTTTACGGGAGCTTCAGGCTTGAGTGTTTGTTTTTAGGCAACGCAAGGCCACTTACTAGGCAAAAACCACACGAAAAAAACCCATTATGCAGGTATTTCAGGTGCTCCCGTTACATTGTACGAGGCCCATGCCTTTTTGTGCTGGAGACATTTTGCTACAGGCAACAGAACGCTCGGGTGTGAACAGGGACCGCTGCAAACAATTGGTTCCCTCCTGTTGAGTGTTGTAACATTCACACTGAGCGACATCAAAATCGCGCGATTTTCCGCGCCATTTTATACGAGCGATATTGAGCGACTTGTCGCGCGACTTTTTCCTATTGGGCTGTATGCAATCAGGAGCAAAATCGCTCGAAAAAAGGGTCATGTAGGAGCGACAAGCTACAGCGTCGAGCGATATTGAGCGACGAGATGTGAACAGCTCCATTGAAATGGATTGGAGAAGCTACATAGAGCGATATCGCTGCAAAAACCGCTCGATAAATCGCTCAGTGTGAATGGGGCCATTGGGGCTACTAAATGCTCAGGTATGAATGGGGCCTATCTATAGTACGGTGCACATGGGAGGGCTTACAATACCAAAACACAAAGTTCCCAGCACACCTGCCTGCAACAAAACAAAATTACAGAGCAGCTTCTACATATTTTTAGGACCACACTTGGCAGAGGTGCCTTGATGGGGCGGTGCGGCTTCTACAAATGTTTGGCCAAAGGTTTGTGCAACTAAAACCTCATACTGTTGACAGGGTAACTTGTTTTGTCGCAGGCTAGCTGGCAGGTGTGCTGGGAACTTTGTGTTTTGTACCCATCTATAGTATTACTAGTTTTAAAAATGGGGGAAACAAAATGGACATGGCTTTGGGCAAAGGTGGCTATTTTCTGAACACGCACACACAAAAAATTCTGTCACAGAGCTGAGATGGGTTAACACAGGGGTGTCCAACTCAATTTAATCATGGGCCGCATCAACATTTATGGTTGCCCTCAAAGGGCCTGTAAGACTATATAAATGTATCTCATCTTTATCATCATTGCCTCTACATTCCATTATCACGGGTTTTAGTAATAACTGAATACCGTGATCTGAAAGTAGAAGTCTAGGAAATGGCCCGGTGGGCCTTGAGTTTGACACATGTGGGTTAACGGGTCCTAAAAGTTTCAAGCCCATACCTCACATCTCATTATCATTCTAAAACAACATCTTGTTTCTCAAAGTTCTTGTTGTGAAATTTCGATTCTACAGAAACCCCAGAAGTGATGTAAGAATAGAGGCGATTCCCCCCACCCCCTTCTCCATCACCTCTTCCTTTACCTTCCCTGTTCCTATCCCTACGCAGATCTGCGCTGTTTGGTGTGCTCATTATCTGGACCAAATGTTCCGGTGTAGGAGGTTGTGAAGGTCGGCGGTGCGGCTTCTACATATTTTTGGCCAAAAGTTTGTGCAACTAAAACCTCTGATTTTAAACGCATACTGTTGACAGGGCTACTTGTTTGGTTGCAGGCTGGCTGGCAGGTTGAGGCTGGGGAATTTTTGTGTTTTGTATTGTTGTAAGCCTTCCCAATGTGCTCCCTGCTACAAAGGCTGGTTATAGATTCATGCATGTACCATGTTTTCTAGTTTGACTATTTTGGTTTGGGGGACGCACTGGAGTCCCAGCGTGCATTTTTGGTTGCTGGGCCCCCAGTGCGTCCCTGCACCTTATTAGGAGGAGTTGGCTACCTCCAGGTACACCTGCATGTAATTTATCAACTTCATTAATATGCTCACACTTGGAGACTCTGATACATAGAGTTAGGGCCGCACTTTGCAGAGGTGCCTTGGCGCGGCGGTGCGGCTTCTACATATTTTTGGCCAAAAGTTTGTGCAACTAAAACCTCTGATTTTAACGCATACTGTTGACAGGGCTACTTGTTTGGTTGCAGGCTGGCTGGCTGGCAGGTTGAGGCTGGGGAATTTTTGTGTTTTGTATTGTAGGAGGTCGTGAACCTCATCGACCTCGCCTCCGCAATATTCAGACACCTGACCCCGAAAAGTTCCCCCTATGATGCTCCTTTTCCATGTTATTATGTGTCTTATGCACTAGAACTGAACAGCAATGCCACTTTCACGCTCCCAAATTGTTCTTTAACACCCGTTCTATTACTTCTGTTATACAATCTGCGGGGCTCTGCACAATGATGCGACTGTACATTTTCTATTGGTGTTCCCCGTTGCAGGGCTTGCATGCCCTACCTCTGTTATTTTTGTAACCTTCATGCGAAAAAACAGACAAAAACCGAATAAAAACTTTTGTGAAAGAATAGAGGAGAGCTCACCTGACACGCATCGATCCCGCCACTGACGTACCCAGCGCAGATCATACGGCTGGTTAGTTGGCCGTCCAGCAATTTATTACATTCGGTCTGATTGATGATTCGGATCTCAGCTTTCTGTAGTACGGCGGCCCCGACGCCTGCACGGAGACAGAACAATGGGGTCAGTCATCTTTATCCTCGGGTCTACTAAACCTCCATCTACTGCAACTCATTCAAACTCCATTCTGATTTCTGACAGCCGACATTGAAAGAACAATGAATGGGAAATGAAGGATATACAGACCAGAGCTGCATGAATGCAACGTGCCCGGTGCTTCTCTATATGTTCTAGAGCTGTTGTTCTCAACCTGTGTAACCTCAGGACCCACATTTGTACTTGGACATTAAGTGGCGACCCAAGTTGCACTGCAATGGAACACACGTCATTGTAGTACCGTGCGTTCTGGTGCGGGCGATCCTCAGCTTGGGGTCCAGTGCTGCGCTGCGACGGAGCTCCATCTATACATGCATTGCTTGTACAACTCCCTGGTGCGCCCTGTAGAGGTGCCGGGAGCCAGAATGTGACGTCACTCCGGTCCAGGCACCTCTACAGGGTCACGTGAAGGAGCTCTAAGCAATGCATGTATGGATGAATGAAGCTCCCTCGTGGCCATAGCTCCATCCCACCTCAAGCTGACACTCCGCACCAGGCAGCATATTCTGAATGGCTGATTGGCGAGAGAACTGACAGCGCTGTGCTAGGGGGAGGCTGAGGAGCCTCTCACATAGAAAAGTGGAAGGCATGCGGTGACCCACTGAAAACGGGGTCGCGACCCACCAGTTGAGAACCAAGGTCCTAGAGTCCTCTCATTTATGTTCCTCATGGATATCTGTTCCTATCTGTCCTATGGGGGGTCCAGAAATCAGGCGGGACAGAGAGAGGATTCCGGAGATCCTAAACCAACAGCATAGCTGATCCAGACTGCTGACTATTATGGGATTACCCGGACCTGGTCTTCAGTATCTGGCTTTATCTGTTGCATCATAACCCTTCCCACAATGCAATACTGACGCCTCTCAATACATCACTAAAGCATCCACAATGCACACCGGGTAGTGGGGGAACACATGAACCCCAATATGGAGGAAATTGAAGGATCATGGACTTCCGGGCACAATGAAGACAAATGGTCACAAGTGGAGGATATGTCCACAACTGTCTGATAACAAATGTTGTATGAAATGGTGTTCTCTACAGGTTCACTTTGTGAATATTCAGCACTTCCTAACTAGGCATAGACACTCCTGATCCAAAACTGGGCACCTCCAAAATCAGGAAGAAGCTCCTCCTTAACATGGCAGGAAGCTCCTTCTGTACCACCCATTAAGCTGCAGGTAGGGAATTCCCAGCCCACAGCTTGATGTAAGCAAAAGGGTGAGATGCAGTGACATCATTGACCTAAAATGGCTACATGACTATATTTGGTGAATGACATTTAGCTAATATGCCGATATGACCATATAAAATAACCAACATCCACACAAACATCTCGCTCATGCAGCTGTGGGGAGGGGAATGCCCGGCCCGCAGCTGACTGAGTGGACGTGCCCATAGTACTTCTTTGTTTGAACCGGAGCTCATCCCTTTTCCCAACCTGATAAAGACGGAATTCCTCAAATATTTGATCAGATAATAAAATTTAAAACACAACAAATACTCTCTGTAATGACTGACCTCCTTCGGTTACAGCGCCCCAGCCCGTCACCCATATAGATTTTCCCACGGGGAAGACATGTGTGCTCTCGGGAATACAGATCGGTTGTATGAAATCCGTGTAGGTGACGGGACTCTCCAGCTCCAGGACGGAGATATCGTTGTCATACGTGAAGTCATTGAACTGTTTGTGAGCCGCGATCCGTTTTATCTTCCGAATCACAACATCCTTGCTGGTGGTCCGCGTGGCCTGATCGTGGAGACCCAGATACGCCGTCCACACACTGGGGTCTGAATATCTGTGAGAAGACATTGAACATGAGGATTGAGCCGATAATGACAGATCGCCACGTACACTGGAACAGGCCGCTCAGAAACCATCTTGTGTTAGAGAACTATGAGGTCAGGGCTTTTCCCCATAGTTCTCCTTAGGGTAACGGGGGGACACAAACTAGCGTCCTCCCGTTACCCTAAGCTCTGTATATAGGGAGCTACAGCTCGGGTATACTGAGACGCCACAGCCGGCGCGGATCCGACTTAGATGACGGGATCCGCCCAGCTGCGTGAGTGACAGCTGGCTCTGCCTATCTAGAGGCTGTACCCGCCCCCTCCCCGTCCGTTCCGCCAGTCAGCGCTGGCAGATCGGAGCGGGGAGGGGGGGAATCCAGCCCCTCCCCTGTCACGGCAGAGAACCGTGACAGGATCGAGAGGTGAGCGAACGCCGGTATGTGTTCCCTCACTTCCCGATCTACTGAGCCGACCTGTGACAGTCTCATTGTCACACGTCGGGTAGAACTATGAGGAGGAGTGAAAAGCCCCTCCCCCCCTCATAGTTCTCCTTTAAGTATTCAAAAACTGGAGTCACATTCAGGGGCGTAACTAGAAAGCACAGGGCCCCATAGCAAAATTTTGTATGGGGCCCTGTGATTTCTAGTTACACCCCCTTGAAGAGCCCACTTGAGAATTATATAAATCCCAAATATTACTTAAAGAAGATATTGTGAGAACGTCATACCGGATTCCAGACGTGTCCTGGAAGCAATGAGCCGCACACAGCAATATGGTCGGGGAGACCAACGAGGCGCCACACGTGTGTCCGTCCTTCTTCGTCTGCAGGCTGACCTGCCACGGCCATTCGCCAATGTCTGCATTCACTCCGCCCACAATCCTCGTCTTCCTGCTGTAAGGGCGTTTCCCGCAGTCTGAAAATTATACAAAAAACAAAAATAAAAAACGGCAATCCAAAATATAGATATAGATAGAGATAAAAGTAGTTGTGGCCGGAAGGTGACTGGAGGAGGCGAGCAAATCGGGGAAACAAAAATTCGGAACTTTTTGCAGATTAGAGACTCCGGATCTGGGCTCGGCGCGATAAAAAAATGACGCGACCCAGTATGGAATGATATCTATGTCGGTGGGTATCGGTGTGACCCGCCTATGACCAGGATCTGTGAAAGGAGAAGTCGTATTCTCTTACCGCAGAAAGTCTCATCGGAGCCGTCGGTGCAGTCCGCCACGCTGTCACACTCCGGGTTCAACTTGTTAAGACATTGCCCGTTCTGACACTTGTAGGTGTACGCTGTGCAGTCCGTGGGCTTCGCTGGATACAGGAGGAGGAGATAAAATCATGATCAAAAAATCAGTGACAGTTATTCGCAGATCGAAGGATTTCATCGTAAATTACAAAACAACTCCGATTTCTTTTTTATTTAATCGGTCACAGAATTTAAAAAAAGGAGGAGAACTATGAGGGGGGTGATTTTCACCCATTCTAATAGTTCGAGCCGACCTGTGACAATGAGACCGTCACAGGTCGGCTCAATTGATTGGGAAGTGAGCGAACACATACCGTCGCTCGCTCACTTCTCAATCATGTCCCTGCAGAGAGCCGTGGCTGTCACTAAAGGCTCCCTGCAGGGATTTCCCTCCCCTGTCCGATCCTCCAGCGCTGACTGGCAGAACGGACGGGGGGTGGGGGCGGGTACAGCTGGCTCTGCCTCTAGATAGGCAGAGCCAACTGTCAATCATGCAGCTGGGTGGATCTCCACAGTAATGTCGGGATCCGCCCCGGCTGCAGCGTCTCAGTATACCGCGAGCTGTAGCTGCCTATATACCGAGCTTTGGGGATGCTAGTTTGTGTCCTCCTGTGACCCTTAGGAGAACTATGGGGAAAAAGCCCTGACCTCGTAGTTCTCTTTTAAACTCGGTATCATTGGCGTATGCTCGCCATCTATAAGCTTAAGGCCCGGTTCGCACCTGAGCGTTTAACCGCGCATTCCTATGGGCATGGTTCTCACCTGCACGTTTTAACGAGCGGTAAAACACCATACTACCAAAGAAGTACAGGAGCTTCTTTGGGGCGTATTAAACGCGCGTATCCATCAGCCGGATACCCCCTCGGAAACTCGCGTTTGCCACACGTTTCTTTTACCGCAAATCGCGGTAAAACCGAACGGTAAGAAAAGCGCGGCAGACGCAAGTTTCCAATACGCTAAAGTGTGAACCCAGCGTTAAAGTGGAACCCGGCTCCTCTCCCCTAGCCAACATCTTCTCCCTGGTGTCTGCGGAGTCACAGGTGGCAGCTGTCTTGGCGAGAGAGGAGATAACTCCAGCGTGACTCCGGCACCGAGGTGTACCGAGCACGCAACACTCATCTGAACATTCCACAGAAGATTGTGAACAAGCAGGAAGTTTGTTTTATTGTAGAAATCACGTCTTCCACAAGACAGAGCCGCCGGCTCGCTTTGGGTCTTGTTTTTAATTTTAGTTCCAATTAAAACAGAATCATTTCAATGAACTCTCTTCATTGTAACAATATTCCAGAACCTCACCGTCTCTAATCCAAAGCAGGGAAGAATATTGAAGAATACAAAATTCCACATAAAACACCGAAAACTTTGCTGATTATTGTTACAATCAAGAACCAAAACGAACCAATCAAGAGGTAATGGAAACAACTTTGGTTGCCATAAAGTTAAAGTGACACCAAACTCCGGAGTTAAAGCTTAAAAATCCCTCCCAGTTCCTGAACTCTGAGCAACAATGTATCTTATTTGTGTCACTCGGCTGTAGATCCTCCAATCATCTCTGACACTGTCCTTCCTTCTGGAGGGGGGCTACGTCTGTTCCCCATGCTCCCTGTGTGTGTTGTAGTCACCGCTCCAAGCTCCTCCCCCCCGGGATGGACTACAATCTCATGTTTAGTTTACTGATTTGTACTGAGATTATAGTCCATCCCAGGGGCGGAGCTTGGAGCAGTGACTACTTTACAACACACACAGGGACCATGGGGAACAGACGTAGCCCCCCTCCAGAAGGAAGGACAGTGTCAGAGATGATTGGAGGATCTACAGCCGAGTGACACAAATAAGATACATTGTTGCTCGGAGTTCGGGGATTTTTAGGATTGATCTCCAGAGTTTAGTGTCATTTAGTGTCAACCCAAATAGGTTGAGGCTCATAGATACAGGGCGAGCAGTGGCTGATACGTTGTTTGTACTTCTCTTTAGTGGAGGATTCCTCGGAATCAGAGTGGCTGCTGCAAAGATACATTTAGGGATTTCTTCTCCTTGGAAGTGCACCAAGAACTTCACTTTTTAAATGTCACATATATTTCCGTTACAGTGTATGCAAATTAATGTGGGCGGGCCTTGCTCTCGCACACCCCTTTTCAGGATAACCCCACCCCCGGACTCCCATTCGATGCTTATGACATCATTCAGAAATGATAAAATAATGGAAGAATTTCATTCATGTTGCTGCAAAAATCTCAAATAGAGGAACCCCGAAATTCCCTAAACCATCATCTCGGCTCTCACCCGATCCACAGTCGGACTCATCTGTGCCGTCTCCACAGTTGTCGGTGTTGTCGCACTTTTGCGCTTCCGGCACGCACTTTCCGTTTCTGCATTTCAGGAACGCATCGGGACATTCTGAAAAGACAAGACATTGCGATGCAGCTTTAGAGACAAATCGACAACACAGCGACGACGGTATGATGGCGGCCAGAAACACCGCAGATACTCACTGCAGTCCTGCTCATCCGTGCCGTCCCCGCAGTCATTGACGCCGTCGCAGAGGAAGAAGCGCGGTTTGCAGTACTGGCTGGTTTTGCAGCGGAACTGCTTGTCGGAGCAGACTGGAGGACAAAAACATCAAATCAACACATGACAGAGAATTACAATATATGTCTGCACGGTGTGAGAGGTGCATTGTGGGTGGGAGCGATATATCTGCACCCCTCACACTGCAGAGCACCTAGAGTCCCCCCGATATACTCACCACATCCAACCTCATCGCTGGAGTCACCACAATCGTTCCATCCATCGCACTTCCGGCCCTTGTCTATACAACGTCCGCTCTTACAGGTGAACTGACCAGGACAAGCTGCAGAAAACACAAACCAATCACAGTGAGAATCCACCTCCAGGACACAATCCCCAATTCTCCCCCCGGGGAATACTGTGCTCATAATACCGACCAC